CACAGACACAAAATATAAAATCCAAGACTACGGGAGTCACTCTGAATAGCAGGAAGGATTCTGAACAGACCCTATATATTTGGGGGAAGACTAAACCTGCTGGGGTATAAGTACATTTGGTACACAGAACCCACAGATAAGAGATGCTTTCAGACACTTCTGCAAAGCTGCTTTCGCAATGTCTGGCAGCCAGCATTAAACACAGGATGACCTGGGGCATACACATCTAAAGTTAACAAACAAGGAACCAAAGCAGCTGTCAGAGGATGCTTTTATGTATTAGGGAGCCTCCAACACTGTTCAGATAAATTATAGATTACATAATAGTGCCTGGGATGTTTATACAGAAAATAGTTGCATACTCCTGATCCAATTATTCTATATTTCCTTCCAACCCATGCATAGGAAAATCAGTGTAAACCTCCATGCAACTTAATTTCAGTTATTCAATTTCCTTTCTTCAGGTGAGAGAGGAAGAAAAAGAGAATTCAAAATCCACTGACCTTCCATTTGTTCTCCCTGTTTATAGCAAGCTGCTTCAATAGGTTCCTGCTGGAAACAAACTGAATTCCCTACTGCAAGTTTATTAGGATAACACTAAACACGATATGGGAATATGAATTCATAAGTAACCAGTATCTTGCTGATTTTTTCCGTTCTATTAATGATTTAAATTATTTCTGCTGCTTAACTTTTAGAGACTCTTACAGGCTTCAACACCAGATATAGATTGGCAACCTTAATCAAAACAAACTCACTGACAGCACTGTTAGAGCTCATTAACATTCTCACCAGATGCTTCTGTCTGGATATATGAGCATCTCCAGTTTTTTCTTTCCAGTACAAGACCCGTGGTACTAGCACAGCTTTCAAATTAAAACAAGAAATCTCAGTACAGCTTCAAATCCTTGCTCTTCTGGGGATTATATCTGTGCAAGGCTATGACAAAGCATTTCATATTTTTTGGACTTCTTAAAAACTTTTTTTAAATACAGATCACTTAATTGGTTTGGGTTTTTTTTCTTTTATTTCTCAGGAATTTATACAGATACAACTAACACATACACTATTTGCTTTCACAGAAAAAGTGCAGAGAGCATTTGTCACTATAATGATCACACAGGGCTTTATACACAGATGAAACCTGTGCTTCTTCTGTCTCTGTACAAAGCAATGCTCTGACATGAAAGCTGCCAGAAATCAGTACAGGAAAGAATTTTAAAACCTCATGCATTGATTAAATTGCCACAGCCAAAGTAAAGATCATCACAACAAGTTATGACCCAGCTCCAGTTTTTAAGTGAATGAAAAATTAGAGGGCAGGGAGGCCAAATATGTGGGCTTCACAAAGAATGTGTCCTTGGACGTGCAAAGCAGAGCTGATCAGATCTCATGGTTAATTTATTGGAAATGAAGCTGTGACAACGATCTCATCCCCAGCTCATCAGTCACATATAGGTACAAAGCATCCAAATGGAAAACAGATTTTCCAATTCCCTGCACCTCCCTAGAGGCCTGTGCTGCTGTCTGAGGACTACAGCATTCTCCTTTCTTGGCTCATTTGCAAGATAAACATATTCTGGCCTCAAACACTGCTCCTTTCCAACTGCTGGTGAAAACTCCAGTCAGTCTGAGAGATTAAGAGGATGATCTAGGGCACTACTCAATCCAAGAAAAATGCTCATGTGGGAACGCAAAGCTGTTGTTGTGACCAGAGGCGGGGCTTTTTTTGTTTTTTTTTTTCCACTGGATCCCATTCTGCAAGTCCAGATACAAACACTTTCTATCTTTATTCTTTATCCACATTAACTTCCTTCCTTTTTTTTTTTTTTTTAAGGGAGCCAGACACTTAGACTTAAATAGATTTTTACAGTGCTAGTTAAATGCTGCTTTTCTGCACTTACAATGATTTAAGATGTGACTGACACAACCCTCATACCTGGGCAATGCTGAGCTGGATCAGTACATAGTTTTAACATTTTCAAACACCTGCAGAAGTAGTATTAATGATCAGACAGATGGACCTCAAATCTTAATTACACAGTACATAAATCTGTAGTTCCTTGTAGATACAAGGTTCCTTGGGAGAGTTTTTGGGAACTGGTAGATCAGCCCCTACCCTTAAGGCAAGCTCCAGTTCAGCTCTTGCTTTCTGCCTGTCTGTGTCTGTCTCTGCTTTGATCCCTGTTCTAAAACTGATGTATGGTGCTTCCAAACTTTTCAAGCATTCACTGACTTCCAACCTCAAATCAGCTGCATTTCAGCACTTGGAGCAGCAGTTCCTCCATGCTCCTCATGCATCCTTAGATGGGTATGGTGGAACTCTAAAGGAAGTCACATAGCAAGCTTTAAAACACTAGTGAAAGACATTAGAAACACTGCTACTGTTGATAAAATTATTAGTGCTACAGACAGATCTCATGTCTTCATTATTATTGCCCTCTTCAAACTCAAGATAAGACATAATTTGAGCACTGGGTTAGAAGCTACAACAGGAAAAGGACTAATTGCTCTGTTACAAAACCCTTCCAAGCAAGATAATTAAACCACGTACATTAAAAAGCACACACTTTCAAGGCTAAAGAACAGATTAAATTCTCCCAGTGACACAGGGACATGTTTTTAGTTGCTATGAAGGCACATAATTTCATTGACAACAGCAGCTAGAACAAACTTTGTATCACTTATGTCTAGAGATGGCCAAACCCTCACAAATCTAGAAACCCTTGAACTCTGGGAAAACTTTGATCCAGTCCAGACTTTATGGCTCTGGTCCACTTCAGCTGGGATGGACCCAAATCTGCTTAAAATATATTTCACAACACATCTTTGCCTGCATTTTTTTCCAGTAGGTTCATAAATACCACATGTAAAACCATTTACCCTCATTCATAACACCTACAGCAGAGCCAGCTATTCCAATCTCCAACCCAGAATGTTAAACAAAAACATAACAACAAACAAAAAGAAACAAACAAAACAAAACCAAAAACAAACAAACAAAAAATACTCAAGAGCAAGTTTTAGATCAGTTGACTTTGTGACCAAGGAGCAAGAAGAAAGCTAAGGTACATTAAAATCTGCAGAGTCAGAATGTTTGGAAGAAACTCAGACTAGTGAGAATCACCACGTGACTTGTACAGTGAGGAACAGCTTGCAAAGCACAAACCAATTCATATCACTCCACTCGTGTTATCCTTAGAAAAAACATACTCATTTGACTAGTTTCAAATAAAGCACACTATGCAAATCTATGGGTTGGGGGGGTTGATAATGTAACAGCTTCATTCACTGTAGTAGGAAAGGTGAGATCACAAACCACATCGGAAGGTTGTGGTTTTCAAATGATCTAGCTGAAAGTGTTGAAACTAAATAAAATCTAACCAGAGAAAAGGAGTCTGACAAGCTCTTTTGACTGCATTCACCACCAATAATTTAAAAACTGAGTTGTTAATAGCTTAAATCAAGTACAGCCAGACCCTAGATCAACAGATCATAGGATAATTCCAGAAGGAATGGACCTCAGGAGGTCAGACTGAGTTGCTTAGGGCTTTATCCTGTTGGGTCTTGTAAACCTTCAAAGACGGAAACAGCACAGCCTTCCTGGGCAACCTCTGCCCTTGCCTGATTTGTCCTTGGGTTGAAAAAATTTTCCCTTGTACCCAATATGAACCTCTCTGGTTTTTTTACACACCCCTACACAGCACTGTGAATAGTCTGGATCTGTCTTCTGGATGATTTCTCCATAGCTACTGGGTGGCTGCTGTTTCTTAAATGCGCCCAAAGATGTCCCTCTTCCAGGTTGAACAAGCCTGGTGGTCCAGCAGCCACTCCCCAAAATGCAAGTGATCCAGTCCCCTGACTTTCCTGGCAACCCTCTGCCAAACTCATTCCAGTTTATCAATATCTTCCCTGTATTGAGGTGCCTAAAACAAGGATCCTTGTTCCAGATGTCAACTAACAAATGCTGAGGAGAGGGTCATGACCACTTCCACTAATTTACTGTCTATCCTAAATGCATCCCAGGATACTTCGGGGTTTTTTGGCTGCTAGGGCACACTGCTCCTCCATGTCCTGCTTGCTGCCTACTAAAATCTCAGGTGTTTTTACACATAGTTGCTTCCCAGCTGTGCAGTCCTCAGGCTCTATTATTGCCACTGACTCTTCCTTCCTATGTGCAGGGCTTCACATCTGCCCTTGATGAATTTTCTAAGATTTCTGTTGGCCCATTCCTCCAGCCTGTCCAGATCCCTCTGGAAGGCAACTCTATCCTCCATTGTTATTGACAGGTCCTCCCAATTTGGTGTCTTTTGGAAATGTGAGTGCACTCTCTTGCTTCTCATTCTTCAATAAAGATACTAAATAGGAAAGGACCCAGGACAGATCCCTGTGCCACTCCACTTGTCACAAGACTCCAGTTAGAGTAGGAATCATTAACCTCTACCTTCTGAACCTGATCCTCCAGTCATTTTTTTACCCATCTAGTTGTCTGCCCATCCAGACTCTAATTTCTATATAATAATATTGTGGGACATACCATCAGAAACCCTAGTAATGTCAAGGCAAATGAGATCCTCAGCTCTCTCCTGCAACAAAAACAGTGAGAGTTCTGGTATTGAACTTCAGGGAATTAGCTGTAACTCTTGGCTCAGGAAAGACACACTGTAAACAATGGCTGGTGCACACACTCACAGAAGGAATACTCTCCTTTGGGAAGTATAGGTTTGTGTTACTGGGATTCAGTAGTCCAAATCCTTAGCTGCAATAATCATCCCAGTTCCATTAGACTCAGTTTATACACAGTATTTAATCTCAGACAATGATCCTGGGATATTACACACCTGATATTTGTTGCCTTAGCTCTATGTGCAAGTTGCACAGACAGGACCAAGGAAGCATCGAGGAGGAATAGCAAGAGAAACTAGAGAGATGGAGAAATTCCTCAGTTCTCTTGGGAGATGCACAGATTCACTGTGTTCCTGTGAGGGTCTTTCTCTTACCTTTGCAAGGAAACTCCAGGCTGCATATTGCCCTGAGGTTGTGCTGCTTTTTAGCTTCACTGCATGCAACATCAGAAAGAATCCCAACAGTCCACTGCAAGGGATGGGAAAAGGTTGTTAATAAAATCTCTTAATTTCAACTAAACAACCTTTTAAAGGCATCTTGGTTTTCCTAAAGAAGAACTGCAGTGTTAATCCCATTTGTAAAAAGAAAGCTGGTGGAAAAGAAGCTTGCATTATGTCCAGTACATTTAGGGTTTTGTTCAGTCAGTGACTAGAATCTGAGTAAAGTAAGTCTGACACTCTTATGGCTGGTCTCTAATGCACTTGCATAATCAGAAAAGTAGAGATTATTGAAAACATGAGGTGAAATATTAACTTCAGGCATTGAAATGGCTCTGAATAACAGCAAGGCTAATTTCAGCAGGAACCACACATATTTGGCAACTAACTCACTTCAACCTCCACAGAGCCTTGAACTGAAAAAATAACCACTGGAAAGTTTCTGCCTGAAGCTTTCAAGCTGTTTAAACTTCATGAAGCCTAAATTCCAATTAGGAAGTCAAATACATCTTTACTGTAAAACAAATAGATGGCTCAATAGTTCTGGGAACAGGATACTCCAAAGTTTTCTGCTGACAATAAAGAGAATTTTGATTCTCAAGTCTTACAGGACAGCAGTCCCCAGCACTCCTGTAGCCAAGACTACCCTTTAGGAAATTCTGTTCCACATCTCACCAGACTTTATGAAGTTTATGAGGTTTGGCTCTGGATTTTATTTCACTTGTGACATATGTACAACCCACTGACTGTGAACCAGTTGAACAGTGTAAACCAGCAAGCAGGGAACAGAAAGAGACTTTAAAATCTGTAAGGTACAAATTACTGTGAGGCATAAGTGATTACAAAGTGCTGTGGAAAGCTGCATGGGAAAGGAGATAGGATCAACACAGCAGACAGGTGGTGAAGCAAAAAGTGCCTTGGTATTCACAGAGGGTATGCTGTTCTGGCCAGTGATGCCATGCAGTTGGACCCCTCTCTACAGTAGCAGAAAGGGTGGGAAATGTGGCTCCTCAGGTCAGAAGTTCTGTGTTGGGCTCCAGTATATCAGCCAAGTGCTGTTCCCTGCACAATAGATGTGGCCAAGTTCCATCTCAGCTGCACGTCCATACAGGCACCAAAGAGTAGGGTAAGATAACTCCCCAGGAGTAGAAGGCATTAGGAATTTTTTGCATTGAGCCATAACACAAGTTCCTTTGGGATGTGTGTGAAGTCTGAAGCCAAGGAAGCAGATGCTGCTTTGATGACAAAAGAGAGGCCTAAAGTCAGCAACTTGTTGCAGAGGATGGAATGCTGAGCAGTAGAACATTCCACTCTGAGAAATGAGTGAGTTCAATGAACCAACATTGCCCATACTTTTAAGAGTCCAGTAGCTAAAGTTTATTCCAGATCTTCTGCCCTGCTGTGAAGGGCTTTCAGTCATGGCGATTTGAAGATATTTAGTGCCACTCAAGAGATAAAAAAGTGAAACAGTGAATTATAATACCTAAAATATTGATGCCACAATTAACACCAATTTATTTCATTAAATAAATTGAGCATTTTACACCTTACTTCTGATGTTTCAGACATTCTGCAGAGATAGTAGATTTAGTTGCATGAATTGCCCTTACCTTACACTGCACAGATTTTCCTCCAAATCCCACATATCTACAAAGATACTAGATTATAAAATGTAGGAGAGCAACAGAGATGTTTGTTTCTCCATCTAACCATTCCTTTCCCCTTCCTGTAGTGTATAGTGCTATCTACTACACATGTGCTAAAGCTGGGCCAATGGAAACAAGTGGGAAGCTACCACAGAGGTAAAGTTCTAATTAAGTGAATGAGAAGAATATCTGGGCTAGACAGATATCCATTAGTATCTGCAGTTAGACCTCACTTTCAAGAAAAATAGATTTCACCTACCTACAGATTACCTAATTGCAAGTTACTTGTAGTGTGAATAGACCCACTTGGAAAAACATAACAAAAACCTGTGTAAATTGGAAATCATTTAACAATCATTCTCAATACCCCCTTTCAACAGAAAATCCAGATACAAGTCAGAAAATCCCTGGCAGGAAATATTTTTGCCATTAGTTAGCATGAAGATACATTTTTTTCCCCCTCTCAAAAAATTACTTTAATTTGGTAAAAGACTGGGGGGAAATAAATGATTTTTTTTAATTAAGATATATGGGAAACATATTTATGTTGTCCTGTGAGAATTATGCCAACATGCAGTGAACTTTTGCTACTGAAAATAATGGAATGCTTGTTAAGCTTTTCCTTTTTATCCAAACAGCATTTTGCCAAATAATAAGATGTACAGGCAAATAAATCCATGTATACCCACATAGTGCTGAAGACTAATACTTAGTTTGGGCTAATCTAACTTCAGAAGCATTTGAGAGATGCTATGTATCAAAGCTTTGCTACATTGGGTAAACATTATTTTACTGGTGACTGGGAGCTCTCACAATCAGAATGCACTCACTCAAGGAAACACATATACTTTCAGCACATTTGAATCTCAGGCCATCAAATGCATATCCACAGACATGAAAAGATTTATTCTTTGCAATTCTACTGGCTTATAACAGCAGAAACTAGTACAAGTAAGGTTTTCTATGCTACAATTTTTTAAATTGAGAGTATAGGCTGGAAGTCAATTGAATCTCGTATTTTGAAAACATTTACATGACCTGTTATAGAGATGTTACCTGGCACAGCAGCTGCTGTGAAACCTATAGAAGTACAGGAATGGAAAATCCAAGGCACTGAAGAGATCACCTGAGGGACAAAGCAATACACTTAGTAGGTGGGAAAAAATTACCCACTGTTACAAGCAATGCAACAGCAATTACATGAACATTACTAGTTTAACATTCCTTTCAGCCTTTACAGCTGGCTGACTTTTCATTTATGATGCTTTCCACATTTTTTGTGTGTTTAATGATTTCTCTCTGACCTTGCTTCTAGCCTGCTCTTGCCTTTGGTTGGAAAAGGGAGAAGGGATACCTAAGAGTATTCAGACATGTATCATATCCACTTCTTTTATTACACAGCATGTGATAGCTCCTGCTGAAACAACAGGAAACACAGACATATGGTGGCTGCTTCCCCTCTGGCACTTGAACTCTGTGACACAGAGCATGTAGAGAGTTTTAAATAGTTCTCCTAGGTCTAAGTAGAGCTCTCAAGTAGTTGCATTTCCAGGAACCTGGGCCTTAGTTGCTCTTGGTGGCAATTTCAGGAGTTCTCTGGGCTTCAGGCTCCACAGATTTGCATGAAGCTCCATCTTCCACTTTTTAAAATGCAAGACTCTTTGGCTTGTCTATCCTATCTTACATATATGTCTATCCTGGTGGGGTTTTTCTTTATACACAATCTGCACCACCAGGAAAAAAGGGGGAATTTATGTTTCTTTAAATGCTCCCTTCTTTGTTTTTCTGGCTGAACAAATGTCTAATGAAAGCAACAAATAAATCATCTTTACCCTTCTAATTATGAACATACCAGAAGATAAGAATATTAACCACCATAAAATATTAAATTTCTCCATTTTTACCACCTGATGTGCTGCTACTTCAAACCCTGCCACGGGCCAAGCAAAGGCACCCATGTTATGAAAGCAACAGAACAAAAACTCTGCATAGCATTGAGGACAATGCAGAGAAACTCAGTTCTCTATGGACTGCTGGGACATGGTCTGAAGAGGACATATTGACTTAGGGAATCCTTGTTCTTTACCATGCACCACCTCAAAAATTGTTCTTTGTTGTCTGTCCCATACTGCTTGTTTGCAAAGGACAGCTAAAAATAGTATTGGGAAATATCATGCAGCTTACACCAACTTTGATACCTTTCTCTCTTCTTCCTATATGTTAACATATTATTGGTCATATTCAGGGCTAAAATCCTAAGGGTTTGGTCTCTAAAAATATATCAATTTAATAATAAATTTAAATTTAATAATTTATAATAAAAAGCAAAAGTAACATGGAAACCTAAAAAAGGAAGTACTCAGTTCACTTTACCTGCTGGATGGGATGCAGAGGCCAACAGCACTACACTAAAAAAAAAAATAAATTAATTTGATACTACAGAATCTATAACATGGGCTGAAGACTATAAATTGACAAGTTTGTGTTTGTTTTTCATGGTGAAACTTATGCCAGTTAAGTAGAATAACTGAGACATAGTATCAATTAAAAGAGAACAAAATTGATTGGAAAGGAATCACTTTTCTGGGGTCACCTAATAAAATTTCTGACCTGAAGCAGGACTACCACAAATACTTGATCATGCCCTCTGGTTCTGTCTCAAAAAGGCATGTCTCAAAAACTTACCAGCATAGAGATCCCACACCTCTCTGGGTAACTTGGCCCAGGGCCACTCTACCCTCCTAGTGAAGAAGTTTTTCCTTCTGTTTTTCCATCAAAGTTGCAATGTACAGTTGTTGTTCCATCTTATGCTGCATATTGCATTTAGACAATTTTAAAAATACATGAAAATAAAAACAAGTGCCAGCCTGAATGATTTACACTTTTCAGATACAAGTGAACAAGAAAACCAGCTGTGACCAGTTCTTTATATGAAGTATTATCACTTAAGTTTTCTGAGGTCTTACAAAGATGTCACCCTTCGGAATTTGCAGTATAGGTTGTACAGAGCCTTTTTTAGTGTTATTGATTATTCTTGTAAATTTCTCGGTTTTTTTGCAAATTTTTCATTCCAAATTGCTTCTAAGGTTAGAAGGCTACAGAGACATTCTGTGAGAAGGGATAAGCATGCACATCTGTAGAGCTACAGCTTCTTCCAGCTACCAACAACATACATCCATTACAAACGCTAAGGACAAGTGGGAGAAGAAGAAAATAGTATCTTGAAAGTTTGCTTCTTGATAAGCAGCAAGCACTGCACTTACAGAGGTAAAATTCATTAATTAATGTTATGGATGCTCAAGCATTCCAGGCCAACTCCCTTTTCCAGTGTTAAAACAGCTACCATTTCCAAACCTGTTCACTCACAGCTGGCCCCAGCTCTCTACACAACCAAGCTTCCATGCTTGGTGACCTGCCCTTCGAAAGCTTTGGTGAAATCCAGCATCATTCAGCAAAAGGAACTGCAAAGAGCATGGAAATCCCATGGCCAAGGAAGTCCTGGGGGGAAGGTTGTCACTGAAATCAGCTGTGGAACACAATAGGCTGAAGGAGGAAAGTGTTTATGAGGGACAGACAGGCAGGTGTTTTAGGCTTCACATTTTGTAAGTCTTTGAAAGGCATCACATGGCATAGTATGTACACATTCTCAATATTTATACATGCTTTTAAAAGATGTTATTGTCACAAAGCTCTTCAATAAGGCAAAGCAGATCACTTACAATAGATAATTTGCCCTACCCCTCCTCCTCCCACATGGGTGCTCTCCCTGTAAAGGGATGCCAAGAGTAATTCACAATAAACAGGCCCAGTTCCTCAGTTTCCTGGTAAAGAGAGAAAAGGAAGCAAAGGTCTACTGCTTTTGACAGAATAACAGAGAAAACAGGAGACTGACAGGGCATGTGAAACTGCATCAACGCTGATGAGAAGTAGGGCTAAACCATGTTCCTCCACTTTCTTGTTGAATTATTATATTTAAAAAAAAACCACTGAGATTGGGAAATAGAGAGAATTTTCCTGCTGCAACCAAGAGGAATTGATAACCCTAACAGGCACCCCAGATTTTGGTCCAAACAAAACAACATGAAAAAACAAAACCTTAATTGTGAAGTGCAGGGCAGGTTAAGGCAAATGGATTAGATGGTATTACAGCTGCTCTGTAGCTCTGCTCTGAATGAAGCATGAGTAAAAAAGACACGATGATGCTGTAAAACCAGATTAGGGATTCAGAGGTTTCTAACAGAACAGCCTGGATATGAGGCTGCAGCAAAAACAAATTCCCTGCTCCTCTCTTTTTCCCCCTGTACTCAATACTGAGGGCTTGGTCACTCGTGGTTTCCTTTCTGGCTCAAAAGAGGTTTTGTCAGCAAGAACAGCAATTTATGCCTGCAAAGCTGCCCTCCCCTATTGCAGAAAATCGACTGCAGCATTTTTAGTTCACAAAAGTGACAGATTAGCAGCTCTTCCAGAAGCCTGATGTAGTTTTGCTGCATAGAGTAGAGCCTTTACCTCATGCCTTTGTCAGTGCCATTTATTCACCCTTTGAAATTCTCCTGTATCAGTTTTCTCCTCACCAATGGCTGCTAGGCCATCTGGGCATGCCTTTGTGAACAAATTTCAGACAGGGACTGATATTGGGATGCACTGAAACTTTCTTGCAGGTTCTTCACAAGAAGTAAGAATTCTCTGCCTGCCTCAGCATAGGAGAAAGCCCAAAATGAGCTACTAAAATTTGCTTCTAAGAAATTTATGTCTCCCTCAACATGCTAGGCAGGCATTACTACCCCTCCCCATATGCTACCCCTCACCAGCTAAGGGGGAGAAATCTGGCTCCTCCTTTGCTAAAAAGCAGGGAAACAGAAAGGAATAAAAGTAAATGTAAGATTACAAGAAAAAAACAAAACACTAGGAAGAAGAACACTGATGCAGAAGTCAGAGTACAGAAATATACAATACTACAGTTTTAAAAAGGGGGTGGGATCAAGAGGATTGGAGGATTAGAGGCAGGATCTTGGAAATATATTGACCCTCTTCCTCCCTGCCCCAGATGCTTAAACACAAGGGAGAGGGATGAACTGGATGGGGCTGGGCACTGAGAAGCAACATGACCCCTCCCTTCTCTGCATAGCACAGCTCTGCTTTCCCTCCTACACTTGTTCCTGGCCTGGCTCCCTTGTTAAAAGCCATTGAATAATCATGCTGGAAGTGATGAAGTGAGAAGAACGCCAGACTTTCAACATCAGCAAATATTTCTTCAGATCTGTTTGATTCTGGAAAGTTCCCATTCATATACATTTACTTAGGGTGTTCTTTTCTCCCAAACTGTTCCAGATTTTAAAACAAGAAACAGTGCATGGTGTGTAAGGACAGCATATGTTAGGAGACTGCTCATTTCAGTTGCACTTCTGGCAGCATCCAACAGAGCCTTCTTTTATATATATATATAAAAGTATATATATATTTATTTGTACTCTAACATATTGGTAGATTCTAACATCAGTAATTCGTGGCAGATCTTTTCATCTGCTCCATGCAGGCAGTCTCTACACTCAGTAGAGTACAACTGTGCTTTCATACTGACCTGAGAAACACTTTGAACAGCCTCTATTACAATAATCCTATGTATTTTTCCTACGTATTAGGAAAAATTTCTTCACTAAAATGCTTTGGAATCAAGCATTGGAACAGGTTTCCCAGGGCAGTGTCTGAGTCACCATCCTTAGAGGTATTTAAGAGACAGTGGTGGGCTTGGTAGTGCTTGGTTAATGCACTCAATGACCTCAAGAGTCTTCTCCAACCTAAAAGATTGGATGATGCTAAACACTATCTGGCTGTGCCCACATGTGACAGCTACATGTCAGCTGTCTGATCTAAGTTAGAAATAAGGAGCTTTAAAGACCTATTGATAACAGTGCTAAGAGGAGAAAGTTGCACTGGTACCACACGAGCAAGTTCTTTCATAAATCATAGAAACATACAATCATGCTTGTAGAGACAAGGCCTCCAGTACACATTTTACTGTCCTGTCCAGGGATCCTGTCATGGCCAGAACAGTCCTTGAGAAGGCCTGAGAAGAGGAAGCAGCATATACCTTAACACCTTCTAAATCACAAAATTTAGTGCTGGGCACCCTCTGACAGAGATAACCCATGTCTACAATAATTCTGACCCAGAGCTGCACGTGAGGAGTTAGTGCTCATTCAGAGAACGTTCCTTTAGTCAGTGATATTTAAAAGTAGCTTTGATTGTTTTCAACAGAAATTAAGTTTGTGCAGTAAAGCTGTGTGAACACAGCTCCACACAGCTCTCAAACACGCTGAACAGCTTCATCCAGATTTGGGAAGTGGCAGTGATCTCCAAGAAAACTACATGTGCAGAGGTCTCACACAGAGACAAATCCTGCCACTACCTCCTGCAGCAGAAGGATTTTAGCCCCATTAGACACTGAGGTGGCACGTCATGGTACCACAATGATGAGGAGAGAGCTTCAGCCAAATTTTACACCCTTTCAAACAACATTAGCTATTTTGACAAAACAAAACTCTAAAGTAAATCAGATGTCACTTATCCCATTGTCCATGGTACTGCTTGTTTTCCCTAGGCAAGATGAGATCCAAATGCTGTGGATTGTGAGCTTCTCTAATACATAGAAAGATATATATATACATATATATATATAGACACATGCACATATAGATATACACAGACCCAAGACAAACAAATAAGCAATCCAGTTTGCCATTTCCCTTAAGCCACCTGTTTTCCAGCAAGTTGCTTTGCACCATCATCTTGTGAGCTATGATGACCTTTAGGCCTCTTCTTGGGGAAAAACTCTGGAAGCTTTAGTAACAAATTTTTGCTCTCAAATATATGCTGTAAATAAGCATCTTCCAATTTGCACAAATCCATTGTTAGATTGTTTGCTAGTTTGTTTTCTGTAAAAATTAGAGTTCTAAGATACTTATGCCACTGCACCTCATTCCTTAGTGAGAAGTTTTTCCCTTTCAAAAGCTTCCAAATAAATTATCATACTTTCCATGTAATGTGGGACTCCTGCTCTCTGCTGGACACAAGTTCACAGACTTCAAAGGAACAAGATCATGAACTAACAGAGAAGCCACCCAGCCCTGACTTTTCAATCAAAGCTGAAAAATTAAGACCTTCGACCAAAATCTGAATTTTAATGTTCAGGCCTAGATGCAATTTTCAACTAAAATGGCAACTGAGAGACAGTCAGGCAGCTGCCAAACGAAAAATCAACTGATTTTACTGCTTGGTTCACGATTTCCCTTCAGTACAGAGAAGTAGCTACATCTCATTCCAGACTTCATAGGTTATTTCTGCATGCAGTAGCATATTTGTAAATTCCATGACTAATTCTCCCAAAGTTTCAATAAACACACCTATCTTCTTTGTGTAAAATTGATTTGCTTTGCATTTCACAGTAGATGGAAAACAACAACTGACTTAAACAAGAGCTACTTCAATCAAACTGATATCCAGATATTGTCCATTAATGGGACCCTGGTGAATAATAAAGGCAAAAGCAGAGGCCTGCATTACGTTTTTATGGAAATAAGAGATTTGACTGAACTAAGACAGAAGGAGATACACAGTGTTATCTTATCGACAGTACTCACAAGATAAATGGGAATTGAAGGAAACCAAATGTCCTACACTGATGTCCCTGATGTACTCCAATCAAGGATCTTTCATGTGGTCAGAAAGAGCATATATCCATCTAATCAAATAGACTAGCACAACTTCACTTTTGTTATGCTGTTTCTCAGCTTCTGCTCCTTCTTTCATTCTTTCTGACCACAGAAGGATTTTCTTTGAATTTGTTATTCATACTTCATAGTGCTCACAAATGACTTTCGGTATGAACCCAAGAAAGAGGCCAACATATATTAAATGTGATCAAGGATGGAAGTGAATTGAATCAAGTCTCTAGATGCTTAACTTGAAATAAAGCCTCACAAAAACCCAGCAGAAGCCATGTAGACTGGATGTCCTGGTTTGAGGCTCTTTGAAGGAAGGATTGGATTTTAAAAAGCAGGAGAATCTGGTCAGTGACTCAGACTCTTTCACTAGCTACAAAATAACACGCCACTCTTCTATCTCCAAATCAGAAAAACAACTGAAAGTCAGAATTACCCAATCCCACTAATGGCACTCTGAACAATCAGTTACTGCTCATGTTCTTTGCACACAGTACTTCTGTAATCACTACCTCCTCTTCTGGCAATTTTGTACCAGTTTTATTTTCTGAAGTGGGTATTGCCAGGGAGTTACTCTGTAAATATTATTTCTGGAAGTGATAGATCAGTTGTGCACGTGGTGATTTAAAAATTCATAATTAACACCTCATTACCTCCTCAGGTGTATATTGGCATGTCCATCTAGAACTGGAGCCAAAAAAATTCAGCTGCTAAGCCATTCAGCTTAGCACTGTTCTTTCAGTGAATGTCCTGCTAAATAAATACATTTAAGTAGTGGTAGCTGTTTCTTCAACAAGGCATGGTTGAAAATGAAAACATATACCACATGAAACCAGCTATGGTGTATCAAAGACTTATTCATTTTACCTGAATACATAGTTGATGTACTGTTGGTCCAGATCACTGGGAGAGGAGGGGAAGAAAAAACGTGTTATTTTTATCAATGCACTTGATTTGGTGTAACAGATCAGTATATTAAGCATTAATATACAGTAATGTTGTAATATTACCTTATATTAATTTTCACAATAGATAATAAGGTTAATATTGGGTAATACTGACATTATATTATAACTATATACATTATAAACATAATATAGTAATAATTTTATCAACACCAGTAAATTATCAATTAACCAACATATTAATTTGCACAGGATCCACACATTATTTCTGTTGTTACTGTCAGTAGGAATTTCATTTAAAGTGAAGATAAAATGAGACTGATTAAAATTTAGACCCTTTAGCCAGAGATGGAAAATGGTTTTGAAATAAATAAGCTTATACATCATATGCAGTGTCAACATACCCATCTCCATCCGTAAAGAAAGCTGCAGATTACAGACACTGCAATGCCACCTGATTCCAAGAATTCTATTGTGTGGTTGCAGTTCTAACATGCTCATGGGATTAGTGCAAGGTTTCAAGGTGTTAAAGGTACTCAGCCATTCCCATCCTGCGGTAAGTCACCAGCTGCTGAACACTTTTGAGATTGTGTCACAAAGGGAGATACTGCCAGATTCAAACCATGCAGCTTTCCACAGGAACACAGACTAACATTTCTTCTTAACACCTGTACCAGTAATGAGGGGTTCTTTTTCCAGGGCAGAGTCATCACCATTGGATAATACACTGTTTAAAACTAATTCAGTGTTCCAGTTAGCAGTATAACTATCAATAACCACATGCTGTTGTTACCAACAATAAATAAGGCTTATCTTGCAAGAGAAGTCATTAATGATTAATCAGGAGTGGCTCAGCTCCTGCTGATCATGCAGAGCTCCCTGCATCACAGTCATCTCTCTTGATAAAAGAATAAGAAAACACATTACCTTAAAGATCCTGGTTTCCACAACTTGTGAAATACTTTGTAAGCCCCTGTAATTGAGATGACATGTGTAATTGCCATATCGTGCAAGCATTCTGACAAACAACAGCATGTTTGGCCATGGAACTAGCAGACATGGAACCCCTCTGAATTACAGTTTAGCAACACAGCATAAAGGATTCCTAAACCATGAGTAAAATGAACCTATTGCTTCACATTAATGCTTTTCAAAGTGTTATCAGCTCTGAACACAGTCATGCTTCTGCTCATCCTGACGACATCTTCTAGCCCACAGTAGCAACAAAGGAGAGATTGTGTGTGTGTGTGTGTGTGTGTGTGTGTGTGTGTGTGTGTGTGTATGGTTTTGTGTGTAAATACATACAGAAAAATGTCAGAATGGGTTCTTCAGCCCACACCATTTTAGGGGTAAGTTCTATGATATATATGCTCATCTACACAGAGCTGTTGTCTCCATCTTCCTTATTCAAAGTTCTCTTCAGCTCTAGGGTCTCCAAGTCCTTTACATTTTTGACCCACCCATTCAACTCTTGTTAGCTTCCATTTCTGTCCTGGGTAAAGATTTGAGCTCTCAAGGAAGAAATTACATAGCTTCAGGCTCTGTTTTTTCAGACCATTTCTTCAAGGCTTTGGGGTTATGTTTTTGATTGACAGAGAAAACCAGAATATGAAAAGCAAATCCAGTAGAACACTATGAAATAGATATCCTCAATTCTGCCTCCATTACACAAGTTGAAGGGTAGAACATACATCCTTTCTGTAATGCTCTGCCTTGGTTTACTATGCAGTAAGTTAGTTCATCTGATTGCCCTTTCTCATAGCACCTTCATTTCAGTTGATAGGAAATCTAATCACATAAATAACTCCCAATAGCAATATCAAAACGAAGAGAAATGGAAGGCAGCTATATTTGGAGCATAAACATTACGTTGGCACTTCCTACACATTTCAAACACACAAATGAAGCATTCTGAAGACTCTTTAAGCAATTTTCCACCTCTATGACCAAGCACTGCTTTACAAATGGGACTCCTTGGCTTTAAGAAAGCAAGAACATCACTCATCACAGCAAAAATGCATTTGAAGTGGAAAATCCATAGATTTTACTTTTATATAAATGAGCAAATATTTACCATATAATATTTCTCAAAAAAACACCAAAACTATTTCTTATTTGTATGTTAACAGCAATTCAGATGGGGATCTCTAGACCTCCCTAGACAAGAATACATATAAACATATTACCTCTGCCCTGAAAATTTTACAGGATGAATAGAAGAAATAAAGAAGGAATCATCCCTAGTCTGTAGACAAGACTTAACATATGAATGAGTCACTGAGCATGTAGGACAGATAAGAATCAAATACAAGTCCCTCATTATCCACCAAAATACTCAAAAAGACAAAAATCTCCTAGTTAAATATTACTACTCTTGTTTTCTTCAGATTTTCTGGTGTGACTGTTTCTAGCTTTTGAGAGAACAGCTATGATTTATCCAAATCAACATTTGGTCTGGAAAAAAAAAGCAAAAGAAAACTTGATAGGTTTTGCAACTCATTGTTATATTTTTTTAAAATGCATATAATTGCCTAAAACCCCAACATTTCAACATCCTTCCTCTGGGACCATAGCCCATGATATTTTAGTATATTTTTGTCCATTTGTAAATAAAATCTGTGTGTGCAATAGAGCTCCAAGTACAAGTTATTGCTTGTTTTTTCATGTTTCTTCTCCCCTCAGAAAGAAGTCTCTCTCAGTAGGCAACCATCAAAAAACAACCAGAAAAGCTTAATGCTGATTAAAATTGTATGTGCATTTTCTCATCCACTGTTAACAGACTTCACTATGCAGTTTGTTCTGTTCTCGTTTTCAGCATAAAAGTTATAAAAAGAATTCGCTTTCTTATATTTACCAGTCTTCATTCATTCCAAATAGAGTCTCAAATATCAGTAACTTCATAATAAAGCTGGTTTCTCCAACACATTTACTCTTCCTAATTCTTTTTCTAGAATAAAATTACTTACCAACACAGATCAAGTGAATTAGAGCCCATAAATATCCATTTGCATCAAACTGCAATAAAGAATGTCTACATAAATAAAAGCACTATCATGTAAACGTACATACTGCAATTTCCCTGCAGTTAGCTTTGCAAAGCAAGTACAGCGAGTGGAAGCTGTGCTATAAAGAAAGGGAAAATCACTAAAGAAGACAAGGAAGACTGAAATTCTTCCTGTCACACTCAGAAATCTGGCATATGCCAATTATGCAGGCTCTCAGCAAAGATAATTCTATTTCAGATGTGTACACCAATTTAAGCAGTCTGAGCATATGGACCCCAGACTATTTAGTCTTGTATTGGCAATCAGGGATGGGCAAGACTATCAGAGGACCATCACAAGGGTTTTTGTCTTGTTTCCTTTCCCCTCTGAGCCTCTGCAGCCACTAAGCAGTCTCTCCCCAAGGCTCCAACTAAACATAGTATCCAAAAGAGGGCTTTAAATGGACAATTGTCTGAGCAAAGTAGGTCCTCTTCCCAATCAATAGGGAAAACCAAGCATTTTTGAGGAATTCACCTGGCATATTTTAGATGTCTGCTTTCATGTGAGATGAATCATGCACCAGGAGATCCTGCTCTGCACCATGGACTACGACAAGAGCTGGTGTAGGTGTAACACCTCCAATGGCCACATTTGATCAGATGTGTCCAGACAAGTTCCAGACTCATCTGACTTTAGATATTAACTGAGGTATATAAAGCAAGGAAGCAGCTTTCCTAAGTCTCCAAAAGAGAATCTCCAATGAATAGATCTTTGCTAGATGGAGCACTCTCTGGAGGTATCTCCTTTCTTAGGTAGCTACAGAAAGAGTGTACAATGAATACAAAACTAAATCAGGAAATCCCTGAAAGCACACACAATTAATTCAAACCTAAGTGATTTTCTGTAAGTCCTCTTAAGAAGTAAAATTGTGGTTTCCCCAGCCACCATCTTCATCAAAGAGCTCTATGTCCACACTGCTCAGAGGTTTTACTATGATACAAACACAGCAAACCCAGCAAGACTACAACATAGCAAGAGCAAATATTTACAATTCCCTAGCAGGAATCCTACTCTAGCTTACCAGTAAAAGCTGCATCTCTCATATGCTAACAAGATGTCAAGCATCAAGGCCTAGCTAGATCTGCTTTACAAAGCAGAGCTCACCTGTGTGTCACACAAAGGAAGGCACACTGCTGCTACCAGGAGGAACAGCACACTGTGGAGAAGAGAAAGGAAAAAAACCCCTGAAATACCAAAAGCTTTCAACCTGGATTTGTATTCTCAAAGTAGAGGCAATTCTAGTCAATATTACACTGACAGTTCACTTGTTTAATTTTCTCATTCCATATTTAAAAAGTAATTTCTGCCATCAAAATTTTAACATTATGCATTCTTCACAACTTGTACACAGCAAAGTTTTATGAGAAAAGAAGCAGCAGAAAACACCTCAGAAGTGATAAAAACTTTTTTTTTTGGTAGAGAATATTTTTCTTCACTAGCCATCTGGCTTCCCTAGGCTTTTTCAGAAAGTCAAAATCTCAAAATTTCTGGCTGACTGGCTACCAAAAACTTTTTTCATTAAGACAAATTGCCTGTTAGAGCAATTCCAGCAGACGTGACTCCATTACAAGTGACATTGTTACTCCAGAGCACAGAGCAAGATGGAAGTGACTGGTGTTACACTAGAAATGTTTTAAGGACAGCACAAGTCCTCTGCTAGACCACTGACTTAGGCTAAATAAATTCTTAACCTGTGGCTGAGTCAGTATTTCTTCAAGCTACATGGAATACACTGACGTGAAATTTCTGTGGACTGTCAGTATTAATATTAACATACACTTGGTTTTGCAGCTTATTTTCCTACTCTGTAAGGGCATGGGAAAAGACAGAATAAAGATTATAAAAAAAATTTGTATCCTTGACAATAGTCCAGTGGTGAAGACAAGGCTGCAGTAAGTCAGATAATGGAAACAACGGGAAGAAATTAGGAAGATAATTCCTCTAAGTACACTAAATAATAATCCAACATTATCCATTCTAAAGTACAGCTAAAAGATTACAGGATGTGGAAGACAACAAATGACACAGCAATTCTTCAAGGGGGTGTGGGGGCATAGAATTGAAATTTTAACACATGACTAGTTGACTTCTATTTGTCCCTTTCCATCTCCTTTTTGAAGCCTAATTAACCAGGGCCAACAAGGGTTGGTGGTTGTGCAGCTTATTATCACAGAATCACAAAATCATCGAGGCTGGAAGAGACCTTCAACATCATCTGTCCAGCTGTCAACCCAGTGCCACCATAGTCACCCTAAACCATATCCCCAGTTGCCACATCCACACAACTCTTGAACACTTCCAGGGATGGTGACTCCACCACTGCCCTGGGAAATTTATTCCAATGCCAAACCACTCTTGCAGTGAATTTTTTTTTCTAATATCTAATCTGAATCTCTCTTGGTCCCTTCACCAAGACATGGCAGAAGAGACTGACTCTCCCTCACTACGAATGATTCTAACAGAGGTGGATCTAATTTAGCTTTCATTTCTAAGGAAGGGAATTTTCAGCTATTTTCTAACACACTAATTATCTTTCTCTTACTGTTTACAATTACCCACTGGAAGTTCAAAGCTTCCAAACCTTTCCAAAAGCATTGTTATGAACACTGTTTTTTCATTAGTTTCATTTTTGTAAGGAGAAAAAACATATCAAACTATTCAAGCAATTGTTAAAAAAATTAGAAATATTTAATTACTCCTATGTTGCAATTTAGGCTCGCCGCCCACAGGAATGTGCCTTACATTCTTCATTGTTTTGGTGTGCCATTATCTGAAGCAAATAGAGAAGCTGGAGCCAAAACAAGTCTGAATCTGAATCTGAGTACTTTTAAAAGCTTACCTACAGACTTTCAGATGAGAGGTCTGCTGTAAAAAAGAAGGTATGATTAAAACATTAAAATTTAATGATAAAAATGGTAAAATAGTGTTTTCTCCTTCCAAAAACTATAAAGTGATGACAGCTGATCTTACTGCACCACACACATTAAAATTTCAGTGAGCAGCATTCAAAATTTGAACACTGCTTAGCAAATTTAATTTGATAAAGAATCAGGATTATGGATCAGTGTACTTCACCTTGATTTATATATTCAGATTACTTACCAGCAAGTAAACCTAAAAACAGACATGAATTTTATACCTGCTCCTCAAACTTAACTTGAATTACACCAAAACTGTGTAACACATGTACTCAAATATTGAGTTTTCCTAATTAGGTACTACCTCATAAAAATCATCCTTGATCTAAACTCATTAAATTTTCCCAATTCTTTGATATTAAATTATTCCTGAGAAGCTTCCAGTTAGGCCTGTGTTTGCATTATCCTTGTCTGTAGTACTTTCGTTTTTAAAGAGAGGAGTCATAAGCTTGTGACATAGAAGGAAAATATGAAACACTTTGACACTAATCAGAGGACAATGACACAGGGACATGCCATGGTACAGACTGCTATGTCCCTTAGGCATAACCTTAGTGATCTCTTCTGTTTGTTAGATGAAGTAAACACTCATTTATCTGTCTTCTATACAGAAAACAGTTATAATGAATGGAAGATGCTTTTCACAGCAGGCCAAAGGCCACTGTAGAAACAACTTTGTGATGAATGATTTCCCAGTGTTAACTCACACAGTAACTCTGTAATCAGTTAGACAAACATTTCAAAAAAGTGTAAAAAGAAGGCTCCCCAATGCAGTTTGTGAGAAAAAAACCTATCTCTTACAAAATGGTACACGAGTTATTCTCATGACTTCATATATTCATAGGGGCAGAATCTCAGGCATTCAAAACAAATTCAAAAATGCACCATTCCTCCTGCATTTTATGTGGAGATGTGATCTCTAATCATACAATACATGAGATCTGTTATACCGATTAGATCTAAGGGCATAGTCTTCATTCCTCCCAGTTCAAACAATGAGCTTTTTATGTGGGTCATGAGAGAGAGGGAATATTAATTTTCAAAAGGAAAAAACAAGTAGGGCCAAGCCAGTCTTAAAAATGCAGATCAGGCTTGTGATATGTATTTGCAGTATTTCATCAACTAAAAGGGAAAAGGAAACATCAGTATAGATACCTATCAACAGCAAAAAGCTCTCTCTGGGTCTCATTAATGAGTAGCTATTACAGTGAGTCTAGAAAAGTACATGGCACTAATGCCTGTATTAAGAGAAATCAGGTATCTTATTCTGGGGCAGTTCTATCACAGGAGTTACCTTGACTGATAGATCAATTACCTCTTTCTGCACAAACTTCTGGAACCCGCAGGTTATGACTTCTGCTGCGTTGTGCACAGTGAGGAACATTGGGATTGGCTGCCATGGGGAGAGAACAAAAATCTCAAATCAGCCCAGAGCAGTCACACATAGGCAGGGACACTCCTCCCAGAGACACCTGTCCCACATGTCTGTGGTTTGGGGTTTTGTTTCTGAAGCTGTAAACCCATGCCACACCACTTAAAAGAGGCTTAACCCATTCCAATCACTAGCACATGAGCACAGGCATCTTTAAATGTAGACCCGGCTGCAAACTTGTTTGCTGTGTCTCCCACTGCTGAGTGCTCACTTTGTTTGTACCCAGCTACCCCAGTGAGATTTGCTCCAGGTTTCTGTCACTAGTTTTCCCTCTCTGATCCAGGATCTTCGGCCTCCACAGCAAATAATTCTCATTTGTTGTCCCATCTCTGTCTGCTGGTACTAAGAATACAGTGTGACTCCTAGCAACAGAACTGTGGCAAGATGATTTTAGGTGATTGCTTTCGGTTACTGCTAGGAAGAACTGCCCAAAATTAGGATAGAAATGCAATAGTTCATACACAAATGATGTTGAAATTATACCCACTGAGGTATCTGGACACCATCCCAACATGAAACCATTAAGAAACAAACCCTAATAATAACAATAATGAATCAAACACGCATTGCCCCAGGCAAACCCAACCAGATTTCGTGGTTCATAATACTTCCTCCAAATCAGATCCATAGTCTCTCAGACAGCTGAAACAGAAGCAATTCTCTGCTCTGATTAAGGTAATCCAAAGACTAAGGCATTTTAGGAAGCAGTATTTCCCCACTCATGTATGGTAATTAAATTGCAGTAGCAGAGACTGAATTAATTTCTTAGTGATGTCCAAACATTTAAGTATCAGGTGATATAAGCAGCAAATATCTCTCAAATCTGACTTTGCAGATTTTCTGTAATCTTCTTTTCTTTAACATAAAGCCTAAGAAGCATTGCTCATTAAACATTTTAAGGCATAATTACAACTGTGGTGGATCCATAGCCACAACAGTTGTACCAAAAAGAATGAAAATCACACAAACACAACTGGTATGAAGTTGTTGGACCCAGCTTGACCGGTACTGAAAACCAATTCTCCACGCTGTTGCTGGATAACTGAGAATATAAACACAGACTTATTTAACATAAAAGTACTCTGAGCTTGAGACAGTAAAAGGAAATACAATAAATACCCATAAACAAGGGAAGTTGACAGCAGAATTTACATTCTTCCCTTTGTGAAAGCCAATTTTTTTGGGTTTTCTTTCCTCCCTTCTGCTTTTGGCTCTTCCAAATGTGTTTTGGAGCCAACGATGGCTCCAGTTTGCCTAGCCCACTTAACCTTCTCCATATGTCTATTGCTTTTGATGCAAGCATTTCTTAAATGTGTGAGTAGGCTTAATGCTTACAAAAAGAAAGGTTTACTGTTTGGGCAGACAGGGTGAATAGACTCTGCACAAATCTCCCTTCATGGCTCTGCATACTTTTTTTAATCATCATAGTCCAGAGCTAAGCAGTCCTCCTCCAGTTCTAGCCCTGAATCCTTGGTCTGGGGAGATTGCCAGCACCTCTGGGAAGAGGCACAAACAGAGATTAAAGTTGTAGCTTTGCCAGTATACAGGAGTGTTTGAAAGTGGGTCCCCTTGGATTTGGTAATAAAAGTACACATAATTTTTGCTTTAGGTATAAACCCACTTAATTAAAATATGCTGTTGAGAGGAGCCAATTCAGCTATGAGTTTGGGAGAGTCCACTTTCATTCTCACTGTGTCATAAAATTGCTGTACACAAAGTCATTATAAGTAAAGCTTCTACGTAGGATTGAATTTAGCTTCAAAACAAGGCAGCACATAATAATTATGGCTTAAGACTGCTTGTCCTTTTGTCTTGCCTTGTAAAATCACCACAGAATTAGATCTCTAAATCTCCATTCATGTACAACAAAAGCCATTAAGAAATGTGAGATGCACCTTAAGAAAGGTTTGGGATACAAATCAAAAATCTTTACAGCCCTTCTGCCACTCCAGTGCAGCTCACTCATGAATGACCAGAGCAGGAACAGAGGAACAGGAGGTAAATACAATAACTTTCAGGATGACCAGGAAGTAAGAAGAAATAACAGAGAGGATGTGATTCTTAGCTCCTCCACCACCCGGGTAAGCAAGCAGAAAAGATGTTGCTGCAAAGGCTTTATTGGTGTTTCCAGACAGGGCTTTCCTTAGGGGACTTTGCTTACCTTACACCAAAGAAGCCCAATGGAACTTCCTTTGACAAGGAAGCAGAGGAAGTAAATGCAATCACACTGAGACAGAACGGATCTGGGAGCATGGGGCTTCTGAGCACATGCCTGTGCTTTCCCAACATTATTTCTGCCCAAGATAAGATCCCCAGCCTTGCTTACGAGAACAGAGATCCTGTTCTTTTCTGCTCTATCTCTCTACTGGGATTTTCAAGGGATCACTACAATCAGAATTTGATTTAAAAAGTCCCTTTTGATCCTCCTTAGGGCTGAGGACGTGACAGGAGCAAGCTGGCTCTGGGGTTACATTAAGATGCATTGACAGAATCCAGAAGGGAACTAATGCAGGATTTGAGCTTGCAGACCGCACAACAGCAGCCAAACATTGTTACTTTTAAAAAATAAATTCTACTAATTTATTTTACTTTTTTTAAGGAAGACTATATAATTTAAGCATAAAGCATTCAAGTTCCATGGAAGTAGATTTGACATTCTATAAACGTTTGGTAAATTACTTTAAAGCAAATGGATCATAAAATGGAGTAATCTAACCCTTCACATAATCTCTTTCCAACATTCTATTTATTTTTCCAAATCCTGCAAAGAATCAAAACCTTCTCATTGAAATGGTCTTCAACAGTTTCCTGGAAGGATTTCCCACAGATCCCACAACCCCTTTCCTATTTTTGCGACGTTACAGCTACTGATTTTTTCAGCTTCTTCCCTACCTGTACAATTCAGACCACTGAGGATCTGTTCAGCAAAACACTGAGCACTCTGTATAGATGCTGAGTGCTTCAGACTGTCACAGAGATGCTTTTTGATACTTAGTAGGATTGGACTGTAGCATTAGCTTCATTAACAATGGATCTATTATTTAAATCTCTCTTCCCTCCTTCTCCTTCTGATGCCTGGAAAGGCATCACTTGAGCCCAGGAACAGCATTAAACACCATGTATGAAGGGAATTGTCTTTGTTTACAAAGTAGAAGTAATAAAGAACTGATTTCTCCTGGTTCATTTCTTACCAATCTAGAAAGTGCCCTGGAGCCAGCATAAATAATGCCCACAAAAAGCACTGATGCAGGAAGCCATGACAGGATTTCAGACCTGTGAAAACAATTAAAACCCCATTATTTCACCACATTCTGCTTACATAAAGAAAGCAACAGTTGCTTGCAAGGAATGTAATAATATGTATATATGTATATTAGTTTCAAGCATGCATATTAAAGTCAGTATCTGATTGCTCAGTATTCCTCCCAAGTCAGAAATTATTCTTTTTGTCTAATCCAAGAGAAGAACTAACTGCAGATAGATCTTTTTGTTTTACTCTCTCCCTGGCTTCTCTCCCTCCAAAATCATGCTTTTTTTCGGTTTTTTCTCCTCTCTTAGAAATTACTCTCATTGGTTTTAAAGGAGAGACATTTCAACTGATTTCTTTGATGTTCTGTGAAAGGAACAAAACCTTACAAATGAAGGCATAAAATGGCTCACTTGCACAAACAGCACAAATTTTCACTATGTACAAATACACTTGGCCACCCACACATTCATTTCTCAGCCAGATTCACAAAGAGATTCTTCCTAAAGATCAGATTGTCTCTGTAGGAGCCTATCTCTTGAGATTTCCTAATGATATTCCTTTGACTAAGCCAAACTCCTAGAGGCAGTTTGACAACTAATGGAGGAATGAAGTCATCAGATTGATCTGATTAATTTTTTTAGCCACAGTTACTGCAGTAGGGTCAGGTTTCAGTTCTGAGAAGTGGCTTCAGAACTGCACTCTTCCTATTTTTGATCTTGTTACTTAAGGGAAAAAAGGGATCAGGTAGGTGGTAAATTTCAGAGAGAATAATGTAAGATTTTTGGCAAGGAAAGAAAGGAGTAGCCGTGAGGTAAAGGCCTGAATCAAGGGCTTCTCAGTACTGAAGACAAGGCTGCCCCATTCACTCTTCCCAAGCTTTGAATTAAAGTGGAGAAAATGTTAGTGGACAGTGCTGGTTCTCAAAACAAAACCAAACTGCTTCTAGATCCTTAGCTTGCATTACACTTCCAATTAACATGTAAGACTTGAGTGCAATTATAGATACTGGTACACCACCACACTTCATGGAACACAAGAAAACAGACCACTAAACAATGAAATCAGAATAGTATGAATGAAGATAAAACATGCACAAAGATTCATGTAATCACAGACAAGGGAAAAACCATAAATATCACATTTCCTTTGTAATATATATATACAATTTTCCAAGATAATCGAAAACCCAGGGTCATAAAAATAATCTTTAGATCCCTTCACTGGCATAAATATTTGCTCTGAGTTTTCTTGACTAGTTACCATAAATTTTCATAAAAACACTGTTTCTTTTGAGGTTATTGACTTCAACTGGAATTTCATCAAGACCAAGATTCAATTCTGTCATACCTCATTACCAATGAATTCACATCAGATACCAACAAAAATACCCCCACACTATTGGAACAGCAACAAATTGAAGAAAGGGGAAGGGAAGAAAAGAAAATGGGTCTGGGAAGATAAAAGGAACACACGACGAAAACCAAATTTTAATTTAGAACATAAAAATATCACTCTTTCATGTTCCCCACGACTAAATTGTAGGAATCCCAAATATGTCTTCATCTCCAATGCAACTCTGCGAAGTGCAATGGAAAAGGACTTCAGATGCTTTTTCCATGATGTAAGGGTAGAATTTAATGCTGCCAAGTGGGAATTTCAGGACTGAAAAAAAATGCACGGATGTTTGATACAACGTGTCAGCATCAACAATCTGTCTTGTATGTAATCCAATTAGCAGCTTCTCATGTTGGCAATACAGTGATCTACATGCAAAATAGGGAAAGAACTGATGAGTTTGTGGTTGTTGTAGGGCTAGATCTGAATCCCACAATAGGCAGTGGGTAGGTTCCCCCAAACAACACTTAAAGAAAGGCTCTGAGTTGCTGCTTAGCTGTGGATGAAATGCAGCACTACAAGAAATGCCAATCAGAACATATCAGACTTAAGTGCCTGCAAGGGTTAGGCAGAAGCTGGGCAGCAGACTGGAAGTATTATGCAGATGCTGCATGCTCCTCTGTGCTCCAAAGAGCCCTTGTTTTGGATAAAAGCTTTGCAGATAGTCAACATTTGCTGTTTAGAAGCAATGATGGAGGGTCCTTTACAGCATGTCCTGGGAGGAAGCAGACGAAAAGCAGGTTATCCACAAAACTTGAGTGAGATTACTCTAAATAATATGTTTTTATTTGGTCTTTATAGTGTGATTAGTATTCTGGACTTTAGACAAAGGGCAAGGATCTCTATGTAATAACTTAATTCTGCTGAGACACTTTGGGATAACCTGAACCCGCTCAGAAGGAATATGAGATCAGTCTATGTGACAGAAAAATCGAGACTTTGTGGACATAAACAAACAAATGGATGGCAATTTATTATTTGAAGCATGATGAGACTGTAGACTGGCTATGATATTCCTAAGTATCCTGCACATAGACAAAATCCTCCCCTCAAACCAACCGACAGATTCAGAGACAAATGTTTTGTAAGAGGGGATGGAAATGTCCGTATCCCAGTGATAGCATTAAAATCACCTTTGCATTGTATTTGTTTGTTTGCTGGTGGGTTTTTTGGTTAGTAGTGCTTTGGAGGTTTAGAGGGTTTCCATGTTTGTGTTTTCAGGCTGTTTTTTTTTTTTGTTTTGGCTTTGATTTGGCTGTTTGTTATTTTTTATATAGGAGATAAATGTTACAAATCCATCTCTGCAAAGCATTAAAGCATGTGTCTAATCTTCGTGAAGAAAGGCAGGTTTAAACTCATGCTTAAATAGCTGGATAAATTATAGCCAAAGCATGTAAATTAATTCTGCTTGTTCCATTCAGTCTATTCTAGAACAGGTATTCTGTATTAACTGTGCTAATGAAGAGGTTTCTCAAGAGGAATTTCAACCCCTTTCCCTACAGTGTGCTGACATCTAGTGGCCTCAAGTCTCCAGGGTCAAAACATGAACTAATTTTTCATCCAAGCCTTTCTTAGATAAAAACAACCTCTTCAGCATCAGCGAGTGGTTCTTGTCCTCTATTTTCTTTAATGTATTCCCAGGTTTTGAAAAGACAAAAGTATCATTTCTAAGCTGGGGAAAAAGTATTCAACTTCTTTAATTTAATTATTTGAAGCAGAAGTCATCATTAGTGAAGAAACCTGAACTATAAAAGGACATTACTGATGGCTGTATTCTTCTAGACTGTTTTGTGAAGAAAAATCTGCATAAAATATATAAATTTGATAATTATATATATATATATATCAGTAACTGCCAGTAAAACAAGGTTTAGACTGTAATCCTTTCTCTGCCAAAGTCACTGGCTTTTACAATATCCTGAGTTTATTGCAGCTATAAATAAGGAAACTGAATCCTGTTTTCATTTATGACCTCACGTGGTGATGTAATCACTTCTGTGGACATGAAAATAGAACACAGCCTGGTTTTTCTGACACACTCACAGGTTTTCTTTCCAAGTGAGGAGATTCAATTTCTCAAGGCAACTGTTTGAATCTCAAACAGAAAGTTCATCAGTTGTCACTTGCTAACGCAGAATCACTGAGAAAAAGTTACATTACGGTGTAATGACATGGTAGTAATTTAGTCTAAACTCTCGCAGCTTCAAGTCACATTACTCAGGTCATTGCCCAGGAAGGTTTTTATTATCTTCTGAGATGAAGATCCAATGATTGCTGTGGGCATGCATCTTCTAAATGGTACCATTTTGCACAATAAAAAAGATGCTGTATTCCACGCTGCAGGATCCACCTGAGCAGAGTACAGCATGACAACTGCTCTGAATTGTGATGTCACACTCAGTTCAAGGAGATGAACTTTGTCTACAAAGCACGATTTAATTTGAAGTTTCATGGTTAACATCAGTTAGGATAGGTGAGTGGTCCCCATTTATGAGACACAGCTCTCAGGAAAAGGCAGGTCACATCTGTAGACTTCACAGCCCTGAGGGTTTTGCAGCAGGTTGCGTCAATGCTCTTAACTGATATTACCAAGGCTTTTTTTACAATACTAAGAAACAACCCAGGGAAGAGATATAGACAGGTGTTTGGATAAGACATCCTTATTGTTTTCACTAAGGGTTTTTTGTTTGTCTTACCAAGGTTAAATTGAATCCACTTTAGGTTAGCAGTCAGTTTAAGTGTGTGTCATCGAACATCCATTTAACTAAAATGTGAGTTCTCTTCTACATCTGTGAAGGAGAACACCCACACCCCATAGATATCAAACACTATTTTAGCCAGTTAATAACATCCATGACCAACTTAACTGTGTTGTAATCTAGCTATGGAAAATAAACATTTGGCAGATACCAAAAAAACTACAGTACCTTGAACATAAGTTTATCTCCACCCAGCCCAGCTTCCAGGAGATGTGAAGCAGAAGTCCACCCACCAATGTTTGCCACCTGAAAGAGAACGACACTAGGAAATAATATGTGAGGCCTAGGGAATAGGTGCAGATAACTTAGAATAAGTAGGAAGTAATGCACATTGATTTCTTTTACACTTTAAAATAAGTTATCAGAATAAGTTATCAGCTTTCTCCTTCCTTAAGCTAGTGGTTTTCAAAGAGGTGTTCCATGTTTCTTGGGTGAAAATCCTTGAATGTCTAGCACGGTTCAGACAGAGATATTGTATTACAATGTTAAATGACATTAGCATCCATAACAGGTATAGAAGTGGGCTTATTTATTATTTCCGTTCATTGCAATGCATTTAAGAAATTATTTAAACTTCTTCTCACACATACACAAATAAACAAATATTCACTCTATGCCATACTAGTGCAGTTGGACGCTGTCAGAGAAGAGTGGGCTCATTTTCTGCATGGATGCAGTAAATATTCAATGCCACTATCACAGCTCTCTTCACTTTTTTTTGGATGAAGAGCATATAAGAGCTTAAAAGCCAGGTTTCCCTGACATTTGCTGCAGGTGAAGAATTTTGAATTCTTTATGGCGAAGAATTTCCTCTTGTCTCAGGTTTTAAGAGACAGAAGTTTGTGACAGTTTCAGATGCTTAGGACCATGCAGTAGAGTCTTAGATTATACAGGAAACAAAACAAGGATGATGAACAGTAACAGCATGAACTGAGAATTACATTCTTTTCCTCTTTGCTCGTGTGTCATAGGTCCAAATGAAAGTGCATCTGAGCCATTTACAAAATTTCAAGGAAAGGTCACTTTTAAAAGCCAGAACTTATGGAAAAATACTAAAATGCTGAAATGCATTTCCAAATAATAGAAGAAGGAAATAAATGTGGTAACACAAATTCCATAAGGCAGTTGATTGCCATTGAAGTATACTTTTCTGTTGATCTAGCACATCTATTTTACACAAATTACTCAAAACCTTCTCCCCATATGATAAAAGCTTTGTGCAAGGGAACAGTCTCTGTGCGTGTGCCAAAACTGAAGAAAGCGTTCACTGCATATCTAATTGAGCTGAATATATTCAAAATAAGTGGAAATTTCCAAGACAATTTTTCCTATCGTTGATTGCAGTCCTGGGACTGCAAATCAGGCAAAATATAAGCCATGCTAAGCAGCAGAAAAAGAAGTAAAGACATCCAGTGTTTGCGGATTTTAACATAATCTCAAAAACCGGGGAACACTTGGCTCTAAGAGATCAGATTTTCACTAAACGTCTCATCAACAGCATTGATGGTATGTATACATGATGGTATATGGACATTTGTTAAAATATTAAATTTCTCATTAAATTCATTAAGATATGATAGTGACTTGTGACGCAGAATTACAATCAAGGCTAAGGATGAAAAAAGCAACATAGTGTTTGTGAATGCCCAAAGATGGGTTTAAGGTAGGTTTTCTCTAGTACAGCAAAAGAGTGCACCATAACTACACATTTTCCTCTCTTCCAGAGAAGAGAGGTTGTACTGTAATTGCTACTTTTTTATGCTGAAGATTAGGACTTTAAGGAAAATGAGAAATTATGGACTCTATAAATCTCAATTACATTACCTCCATGACGTTCAAAAATTAACCAAGACACATTAATGAATGTGTCTTTATTAAGGCTTCATGAAACATATTCTCTAGACAGCAAAATCCAGTACGGACAAGAGGTAGTAAAGTTGGCTTCAGTATGGAACAGCAAGATGTTAAAGTCATTTTTCAAACAATTCTTAAAACCATACTTACCCTTGAAAAAGGGTAGGGTAGGTAAATTGCAGGACAGACAGGACATACTGGAAAACAAATAGCAAATTAATGGACATAAAACACCTACAGTTTATAATATCAACAAACAATCACAAGCAACAAAACATACACAAAAAGTTTTCATTCTGTTTTATTTTGGTAGGAAGGACAAAAAAATGTTTAGCAATTTCGCTTGTTGTGGCGTATTTCCTCTCTCTTCCCTCATTGGGCTGTACTATGATCTCTGAAAGGCTTGATAGGCCTCAGTCTTGATGAACAGCATCTGGGCTAAGTTCCACTTGAGCTTATCAGAAACACTGTCTGCTCTCAGGAACTTAATCCTGTCCAACAAGCTCCTCCTTTTTAACAAACAGCCTTGGAGACTTATTTTTCTCACCTGTATAATAACCCAAGTAGAACAACATTTTTGTTATTGAACTTTCAAATAAATTTACCAACCTGCATTGAGGCCAGGAAGGAAAATTCCTTAATCTAAACCCAACTCTCATGTGATCCTCTAAACAACAGTTCTGATTGAGACCCTTTGAGTTCTCCTGGACCACAGCAGGATGCAACCACTAACCTCCCTCTGAGTGGGCACCTCTCAGAGCCGGCAAACTGCCAAGTTTGGTACACTTGGAAACCTCTGAAGGATAATGATGGATCATGGGCTGATACCATCCACTCCTTGAGACTCAACCCTTTTCCCATGAAGAAGATGCAAGGGCACCCAAAGTGAGCACTTCACCGAATTTGAGGGGAATTTTTCCGGGGTATACCTTGTACATGTTCCTTTAGGTCTGTGTGTGAATGTGGATATGCTGTAGCCAATTCATTATGAGTATTGCTCTCTTGATTCTTAAGCACATTAGGTTTGTAAGTAAGGTAGGCCTTGAGTCACTGTCATGCCTATATTAAATTCTATATGAATCTTTTGTTAAACTATTTAAATTAAGCTTTTGATTAAGAGCTACTATGTTTAAGTGCTGTAAAACCTTTAGACTAAACCATTGATCAAATCTGGGATTAAGTTTGGCAGCAGGTCCACTATGAATGCTATGACTCGGTGAGAGTGTCTTATTCCCTTTTATCCTTACCCTTTCCTGTTCTTATTTCCATGTAGATAATTTTAGGTTTATTGATTTTTAGATTGATTGATTTTAGTCTGATTTTTCTCTGTCTGCTTTAACCATGTATAAGTAACAGAGTGAACTTTGCCATATTTTCCCTTTCATATTTAACCATCTAATAATGATGTTGTAGATGTAATGATGTAGTAATGTACTAATGATATAATATAGTATTGATGGTAGTAGAGTGAACCTTGCCAACAAACTTTATAGTGATTTCACTTTAATATTAAATCTGCTTTTGCCCATCCCTTTGCTGGTGATTCCCTGAGTGAGCTAAAACACTCATTCACAATGCTTCCCATGCCAAAACTGCTGGATGCTGCCTCAGGCACTGTGGAAGGTAAGAGACACTAAAGTACATGAGGAATGGAGTGGACACACTGAACAAGGGAGAAGGCTGTCATCTGAATTGCACTTTCACTTTCTGAACACAGTCCATACATCACACTGAATGGAAAAGGATTAACAGGAACAAAATGCCGTAAGCACCAGTCAATTAAAATCATATCGTACCAAAGAGGCAAATTTTTGGCAGGACCAAGAGCATTAATCTTAATATAATTGTCTCCTTATGATGAATGTATCTTATAGACTTAACATTCTGCTTACACATTCTTTTGTGTAAAATATTAAGCAGCCCATAAAGCCCATCAGAGATGTAATACCTGGGGGTAAAAAGCAAAATCTGTGTCATTGCTTTAGTCTGCTTTGTCTGGGCCTGCATGCATGGATACTAGTGTCTCTTCACACTAAATACGTATATATGCAAATATAAGCGATAAATACATGTCTTCCAGGTCCAACAATTTCCCATAATGAAGTATACGAATACAACTTCTGCAAAGGAGAAGAATGATTGAAGCTTTCTCAGACAAAATAAAGCTTCCTTCCAGGAGCCAGCAGAAGACGTCAAGGGCAAAAGGAGAAGCTGAAAGCTTTCAGCAGAGAGAAGAGGGTGTTGAGCATCCTGCAAGGTCCAGTTGTCAGGTTTATGGGGTGTCCCTAAAAAGCTGGCATCAGTATGCAGAGACAAGGTGTGTTGATTCACAACAGGTCCTTTCACACATACACCTGTCACTTGCATTTTAAATCAGGACAATCTACCTACACCTCTGCAGCCTTGCTTGCATTTGCACACCACCTGTAACAACTGAAAGGTCTATATTGTGGTTATTTTTTACTTTATTACACTAAAACCTACATTGAGGTTTGAAAATGGAGGGCCAATGTTAATGTCCCTATGACTTCTCATGCACAGATAAGCTAAACAAATACCCTTCCCAATCCATGATGCAACCTGGCAGCTCTTTTAGTCCCTTTCTGTTTAACTAATTACTGCTCCCAGCAGTCTGTCAAATCAAGTGTATTATCTCTCCCTACAACTTTGCTTCATGTCTGGACTTCAGTCTACTTCTGGGCATCCTTCATGGCAAATATATCTTGGAACAGAAACTACTGGCCTATGCCCAGAAAATATTTTATTGTCACCTCAGAAATGCTGCTTTTCTCTAATCCTCCCTCAGAATATTCATACCCTGATTGTTTCACCAGTACTTTTTTCTTTCAGAAATCTGCACCAGAAATACAGACACGCCCCCTGACAAGTAGGATAGCACAAAGTAGTTACTCTATGTTCGACTCCCGGAGTGAAAAAACTACTTTCAAACTACGCTTAAATGATACAATTTTATTCACAATGTGGCCATCTTCAGCCTACTTCTGCTTAGACACTTCAGCAATACTTATAAGATATTGTTACACAGTGGAAAAAAAAATTCTTGTCCTTAATTCTTCAGGTAATTAAGCTGTCAAAGAAACAAAGTTGCCATGGAATATTGTTTCACTACTAAGATAATAATTTGAATTTTTAACTTTTTTCCCTTGGATAGTTGATGTCATTGCCCCAGTTAACAGATTTTCTTTTGGGAATGAGTGCAGTTGCCAGACACCCAATGAAATGTATACAGCATCAGCGATACTTTCAGCGCAGCATAACTTCTGGGTCTATAACACTTCATTCATTGGAATGACAAGATGTCAACATCCTTGCTCTCTTAAACATGACAATAAGGGAACTTATCTGTCGTGGAAAGGTAAAGATGTCACACACTGAGCAAAAGGAAACCGGCACCCTACCCGCAGTTTCGAGAGCACACTGGGATGGGCGGCAGGCTGGTGTGCCACGGACTTTTCACTCATGGGGTATTCCCGTCCGGGAAGGGCAGGTCCTCTGGCTCTCCCTGAGCAGGGCAGTGAAAGCAGAGGCCACTGTCCGTCCTCTTTCCCTTTCTCCTGCTCCTGGATCCCTGCACTTCCCTCGCCCCCCGCTCCTGCAGCTGCGGACCGGCAGCCAGCGCCCCCGCACCTCCCTGCGCCCCGCCCGGCCCGTCCGAGCCCGGGGCGGCCCCGCTCCCGCGCTCACCTTGTTGGTGAAGCTGGAGGCCAGGTAGAAGAGGCAGAAGGCGAGGCCGCCCGCCGGCCTCTTCAGATACATGGGTGGGCGCGGAGCGCGGCGCGGCGGGCGGCGGCCATCGGCCCGCCAGGGACACGTCGGCTCCGCCGGCGCCGCCTCTGCGGGGCCGCTGCTGCCGCCCCGCGGCCGTGCCGGGCCCGGAGCGGCCCAACAGTGACCGACAGGGCGCGGAGGACATTGTTTGTCCCCTCTCCTGTGCCCTGGAGAGACCCCGCCCGGAGTGCTGCGTCCAGCTCCGACGCGCTCGGCACGGGAAAGACCTGTTGAAGCGAGTCCAGAGGAGGGACGCAAAGATCATCGGAGGGCTGGGAGAGATCGGGATGTTCAGCCCGGAGAACAGAACGCTCAGGAGAGACTTTACACCAGCCTTTTAGTACCTAAAGGGGACCTGCAAGAGAGCTGCGAAGGGACTTTTTACACGGGCATGTAGTGGTAGGGGGAATAGCTTTAAACTATTAAAACTATTAAAACTATTTAGACTAGATGTAAGGAAGGTATTTTTTATGGTGCGGGTGGTGAGATGCTGGAAGAGGTAGTGGATACACCATCCCTAGAAGTGTTCAAGGACAGGCTGGACGGGGCTCAGAGCAAGCTGATCTAGTTGAAGATGTTGGGCAGGATGCTCTGCTCTGGAATGTGGTCAAGCAGCTTGGACAATGCCCTGTTTACAAGGCTACCAGTCCAGGACATCAAGGATATCAAACTGGTTTTGGTGTTATGATAACACCAGTCTGACATATCAACCCCAAATTAACATCCTGACAGTGAGGTAAAGATTTGTCAAACAAGCTGCTAAGCTGACCTGGAGATACATGACTGGCAGTCAGTCACTTTACTCTATAAAAGTCTAGTCCATTTTCATATGGTTAGGTTCTTCTAACATATCCCTTTTTGGAGTGTATGTGAAGATTCTTCCTTTGGGTGGGGACACCTCTCAAAGTTAGTCCTTAAGGCTAAGTGAGTGAAAGAGATTTTGCCCATGGTCATTGGTATGGGTGAGTAACATCAATCTCTGCTTCAATAACTATTTCTTTTTGCTAGTTTTAACTGAATTGCTTTAATATAGTTGCTTTGATAGAGTGCACTGTACCACCCTATCCTAGTAGTTTTATTTTCTATAGTGTGTATTCTGATTAAGATCTCTTTGTCTAATAATTTGTCATCATGAATCATTCATTTTATATTAATAGATCTGGTTTGCCATTGTTTATCCTACAGGACAAAGTTGTACAAATGTTCAAACACGCCTTTATAATTTCTTAAACCACTGACAGTCTCAGGCTAAGATTGGATCCAGTTGCACCTTGGCTCCTCTCTCAGATGGAATTTAGAAAGCAAGGGGTTCCTTTCACCTCATGGCTAATGGAAGGGCTTCTCTAAAAAACTTTGTCTGAAGCTCCCACTCCCACCCATGACAAGAAGCCCCTGCTTATTGCAGAGGTCTGGACTAGATGGCTAACTTTAAAGGCCTATTCCAATCAAATATTCTATCATCCTGTGATTCACTGGTGAAATGTGAACTATAAATATCCTAGGCAGGTGAGAAGCAGTGAAAGACACACCCTGTTAGGTCATGGTTACTGGGTGATCTTTTATTATGGCCTAGGTAAGCCTTGTTTTTCCCAGTCTTGGCATTAGCAAGGCCCTATCTTTGCAGTCCTTACCTTGACTTTGCTCAGGTTAACACAAAGTACAGGGCCCTCTCTGTACACGTACACTCTCTTTCTAGAGGACAGAGCAAAGTAGCATAAATAAGGAACCTTATTTATGAGCATGGCTTAAATTAGGGAGGGAGGCACTAAGTGGTCAAATCCTGGCCATAAAATGAGCCTGTCTAACCTGCTATGTTTAGCCTCAAAAGACAAGGTCAACAGAGTGCAACAGCTGAACAGCTGACCTGCACCAAGACAAATTCAAGTATTTTGGTGCATCAGACGTGATCCTATCTGGTTTGCAAGGTGGTAGCCCAACACAGACATCGATTTTCAGTGCTGAAATGTTTGGTCCATGCAGGCTCACAGAGATCACTGATGAACCACCATAATGGATGTATTAGAGATGGCAGGGTAAGCGATACAGCATTTCCACTTTGCAGAGCACTTGTTTATATACAAATGTCAAATGTGTATTTTGCAAACAAATTTGTGCCACAAATTCAGCCTGTAAAGCTTTAAAATGAGTAAGTAAAGTTTACAGATATCTACAAAGACTAACATAAACATGCAGTAGGAGTACTTTTGACTTTTTATTACAGGGCGGTATCATTTTCATGCAAAACATTACAGTGATATCTCTGAGCTTTCTGCAGTATTTGTTAGTACAAGTGGGAGACTTGGGAAAAGATTATATATTTTCTTACAGCCAAATACACAGGCAGGCTTGAATTCTTGTAGACCACTTAAAGTGAGGGATTAAGAATGAAAATGAAAATTTCTGCTAATGTTGTTTATCAGGACTGACTTGAATTACATACAAAGTAATCACTATGTAGCTTTAGAATTATTTTGATAATATGAAGGGAAGTTTCTGCTCTATCTAGATTTTTAACTATTTTTATAGGGAGGTATGAATGTGTTGCAAATGATTTTGTCTACACATCATTTCATAAAACATTTCTTCTTAAAACAACTCAGTTCAAAGCTTGAACCATTCATATAAGAGGTCATGGGATCAAGGCCTAATCAGGAAATATTTAAGGGACTAAAATAGAAGACGTATTTTTGAAAATTAAAAATGTAATAAGAAGACAGAGGAATATTTAGTCACTGTTCATGTCTTTCTGAATCAAAACTATCAAAACCTGTTTTCTTAATCAGTACTTGTACAGCTGTGCAAGAATAATGATTTTTCCCAGGGCAGCAGGACATTGCTTTGATATTCTGCTCATATATAAAACCTAATTTCAGACAAAGAAGATAGAAGAGAAGGTGGCAGTAATCTTCACACCCCAAAAAGCAGCTGCAAAGGGAAAGGAATAATCTCTTCACCAGGGATAAGTGCAGAAAGGGTAAGAAACATGCTGCTACTGCATCACCAGACAAAGCTGCTCTTGCCAGTATTTGGCAGTGCTGTGGTAACCATTGAACCTGATGGTCTTAAAGGTCTTTAACAACCTAAAGGATTCTATAATCCTATAGTGCCTTTGTGGCACAAGCCTGTGTCATGCCTGCAGGTTGTGTGCTACAACCCAGGTCCCTACCCTCTTCCAAATGGTTTGTCATTTAGTTGGCAACTAAATTACTGGAGTAATGAACTCTGGAGCAGTGTCTTAGGAGATTGTAATGTGTTACGTCATTGCAGGTTACTAAGGACAAATAAAGAAGAACTTTGGCCAACGAAGCTGATTCTTGCATGGCTGAGAATTGGCATGAATGGCCTTTACGGGGCCTGCCTGGCAGTACGGGCTTTGCCAGATGTCAAACAGGAACCAAGCAGGCTGAGGGATGCCACAGAGGCTACAGAATCCCTTACCACTTCTGCCCTTGCAGCCACCCAGCTTTCCTAGGCAGGTATTCAGATTATCAACAGCCTGACATGCACTTGCCTGACTGCAAACAGACACCTTCAACAGCTGGTGATGAGCCAGGCCAGAGGAGATTTCTCGGCATTGCTTCCTTCCTTTAAGGAAACTTGCCCAAGTAGACCTAAAGTGTCGTAGCAAAACACTATGCTGTTGCTGTTGTCCTGAATATAAGGCATTTTAGTCACAACACTATTTTCCAGATAAGCATTACATATGAAATTGAGATGTAAAAGGCAGTAGGTCACATGCAAAGTATTTAAATGTGTATCTACAGTGACTTACAGGATTGGGATCAAATTAATTTGTTTGCTTAAGGTTTGGTTAATTTGTTGTATTTTTTTCCTATTCCCTCAGTTACTTCCTGAAATAAAAACAAATGCCAACGATTTCAATTCACAGAATCACAGAATCAATTAGGTAGGAAAAGACCTCTGAGACTGAATCCAATCTACGACCAAATACCAAGTCGACTAGACCATGGCATTGAGTGCCACATCCAGTCTCCTTAAATACCTCCAGGAATGGTAACTCCACATCTCCCTGGGCAGTCTATTCCAGTGTCCAATCACCCTTTCTCTGAAAAAGCTCTTCCTAATGTCCAACCTAAACCTCCCCTAGCGCAGCTTAAGGCCATGTCCTCTGGCTTGTAGCCTGGGAGCAGAGGTCGACCCCCAGCTGGTTACAGCCTCCCCTCAGGTGGTTCTAGAGCGATAAGGCCACCCCTGAGCCGCCTTTTCTCCAGGCTAAACATTCCCAGCCCCTTCTCATGCCGCTCTTCATCACACCTGTGCTCCAGACCCATTTCATCCATTTGTTTTACCGCTGGCATACTGTTCGGTTTGCTGGGGGTTTTTTTTCCCCTCCCACAGTTCCCTTGGCTACTTCCCGAGATAAAAACAAACGTCAGCTATTTAATCTCTCCCTTTGGCGTTACCGCCAGCCCGGCGCTGTCCCTCAGCGCCCAGGTATGGCCGGCCTGGCTGGGGTTCGGCGGAAGGCTCCGCCCGGTGAGGCCGCGGCCGCCCCGGTGACATCACCGGAAAGGCGGGTCACCCCCGGCCAATGGGCCGCCTGACGGCCGCGGAGAACGGGGGAGGACCCGGAAGGTTTCGCAGTTGGAGCGTTGCTGCCCCGCCGAGAGACCCCGCTGCTGCTGCTGCTGCTGCCGCTGCCCGCCCCTGCGTGCCCGATGGACTCGGTGGGAGTCGCCGCCGCCGCGCCCGACGCCAGGCCGGGCCCCGCCTGGCAGAGCAAGGTGAGCGCTGTGCCGGAGCCGCG